ATGTTAATGCCAGGTATTTCTCTCAATTCCTTTCCACTTAATATATTGATTGACAAAGGGTCTGTCCCTTGGACCCCAGCTCCCCAACTTGATTAGTCTAGGTTGTCAGCACACCCTAGGGATCCCTGGCCTCTGGTGTTCTGGAATTATAGATGGACCATTATGCCCACCCAGGAAGCTGTGGATCTGAATTCTGGTCCTCATGATTTGTTCAGGATGAACCATCTCTCTGACATCTACTGTTTTGATTTGTTTTAATGGGGTCTCTGTCAGCCACAGCTGTCCTGTAACTCACTATGTAGACCAAGATGACCTTGAACTCACAGAGATGCACCTTCCTCTGCCTCCCAAGTGCTGGGATTAAAGGTGTGCACCAGGCTCTGCCATGCTTTTCTTACATAGACTAATTATTAGACTTTCTCATTGAGTGGGAAGACAGAACAATAGGTAAAAAAAATAATGTTACTGTTTTGCTTTAATAGTGTTGTTTTTGTTTTGGGAATTATTTTGGACAGTCTCACTAGGTAACTCTAGCTGGCCTGAAACTCACGAGTTGGCTTTGGACTCACTGGAGTCTGTCTCTTGTTTATCACTACTCTAGAGCTTTCTGTTATTTTTGTCTTTTGCCTTGTATGGGTCCCTGAAGAGCCAAAAGAGGGTGTGAGATTTCTTAAAGCTGGAGTCAAAGGCAGTTGTGACTGCCTGATACAATATGAATGCTGGAAACTGGTCCTTTGAAAGAGCAAGGAACACTCTTAATTGCTGAGCCATTTCTTAGGCCCCTAAATAAAGGGGAGGGGCACATGACATAGAAATGGGGATCAGAGGACAACGGTTCTTTCCTTCCACCATGTGAATTCTGGGTATTGGTGGAAAGCACTTTTACTGGATAAGCCACCTTAATGGTCAATGTATAACTATTTTAAATGAATTATAAAGTCTATAGAAATAGCTAAAATTCCCAAATTGTTCTTTTTTATTTACAAAATGGTGTGTATTAGCACAGTTCAATGGTTTGTATTAGCCTGGCTGGGTATGGTGGCTCACACCTTTGATCCCAGCACTCGAGAGGCAGAGGCAATCAGATCTCTGTGAATTTGAGGCTAGCCTGGTCTACAGACTGAGTTCCAGGGCAGTCTGGCCTACACAATAAAATCCTGTCTCAAAACAGTAATAATAATAGTATAAATAGTTATAGTTTTGCTTATTAACCCACCTTTGGTTATAGGCATGTTGACCATGAGCTTTTTGATAGGTAATTGAAAAGTCATTACACCCTTTCATTCCAGAAGACTGGCTAGGGATCCTGGACCTGAGGAGTAACAGAGTGCCTCACTCCTTGATTTGCTTTTTCCTTGTGTACCTCAGCCCAAATGCAAAAGACGTGAGCAATGTGTCGATGCCATTAGGCACACACACACACACACACACACACACAAAATGCATGGAGGAAAACCTGCTTCCTCCTGCCAAAGGAGGAAGACAGGAAAACTTCACCCTATAACTATTGCAAAACACCACAAGGAAAGTGTGGCTCTCTCTGCTAGCTCTGTCTGCTAAGGTTGAGTGAGAGACCCAAACTTTTTATCTTCACCAGGTCTAAGGACTTGTCACAACCTGCCACTAGGGGGCTGCAACAACTTTCATCCCCGTGGAGCAGTGGGAACCTCTCCTAATCCTACCTCAGAGAACATGTAGAGAGACTGGACTTCCACCCCAGCCATTGGGTCCAAACAACACCGCCCCAGCCAGGCTAAGTGGAGGCTAAGTGAGGAGCCTGGACTTGTTTCTACCTCTGCTTGGTGATAATGTTGGAGGGACCTCTTTCCCTGACACAGTAGTGGTAGAAGAGTCTTGACATAACAGATTTAAATGAGGCCACAGATTTCATAATATCCCATATTCCCAGGTTTCAACTGGAAGTCACTCATTATACTAAGAGACAGTATATAAAACAAAACAAAACAAACAACAACAAAACTACCAGCATGCTTGTGGGTCTTCAACACACACACACACACACACACACACACACACACACACACACCTCTGAGAATCAGAAAAGAGGAAATAGATGTTAGATTGCTTTTTTTTTTCCTGTGATGGTTTGAATGACAATGGCCCCCATGGACCCTTATAGTGGTGTCTAGTAGGTGGGACTATTTCGGAAGGATGAGGAGGTGTGGCTTTGTTGAAGGAGGTGTGCCACTGTGGGCTGGCTTTGAAGCTTCAGATGCCCACACTACTCCAGTTGGCGCTCACACTTTGTGCTTTGGATCAGATGTGAGCACTCAGCTACTGCTCCAGTGCCATGACTGTCTGACTGCCACCATGCTCCCTGCCATGATGGTCATGGACTCAACCCTCTGGAATGGTGAGATCCAATTAAATGCTTCCTTGTATAAGTTGCCTTGGTCATGGTATTTCTGTCACTGCAATAGAGAAGTAACTAAGACATTTGCATATGTCTTAAAATACACAAAACAGTTAAACAGAAACCAGGCATTGTAGTGTATGCCTTTAATTGAAGTGGCTAAGGAAATGCCACTTGTCCTGACCTTACTCTGACTCCATTTTATATCTGCTCAGGTGCTCTTTGGCCCTTAAACCCAAGGATAGTCATGTCTGCCTTGGCGACACATTCAGGACCTTCCATGACCCTGGCCATGGTTCAAGTGCATAACCAAAGTATCTGCTGATTGTACAGCCCAAACAATTGTCACCAGGTTCTCTGACGTCTGACAATGATGTCACTGTGGGTTTTGCCTTTAAAAAATGCTATACCCCTAAGCTTGGGGCCGAGAGTGTTTCTGAGGCTCTGGGCTGTTCATGGTCACTGGCCAATTAGGACTCCAATTTGACCTTATATGCACGGTAGCCTGTAACTTTCTCACATGAACGCCAACGTAACCCAGCACTTCAGAGAAGACTGAGGCTGAAGGATCACAAGTTGGAGACCAGCTGGGGCTATAGCGTGAAACTTGTTTTGAAATATCTCCCACCAAAATCAAACAGAATAAAAGCTATACAGTAAGACAGCATTCTCTTTTTTTGCATTTTTTATTTGAATTAGAAACAAGATTGTTTTACATGACAATCCCAGTTCCCTTCTCCCTCCTGTCCTCCCCTACCACCCCTCCCCTAACTAAAACCCTACCTAACACATACCCTTTCTGCTCCCCCTGGATGGTAAGGCCTTCCATAGGGTGATAAGACAGCATTCTTAAACAGAACATTTATTTATCGTGTGTGTGTGTGTGTGTGTGTGTGTGTGTGCACGCATGCCATAGCTAGTGAGCATGTGGCAATCAGAGGACAACTTGTGAGAGATGGCTTTCTCCTTCCACCTTGTGGATTCAAGAAGGGGAGTCAAGCCTTGGAGGCAGGTGCCTTTACATACAGAGCCATCTGGATGGCTCATAACACAGTATTCTTAGAACTACTAAATCTACATTTAGCAAATACTAAAACAAGAGCTCCAGAAAAAGATTTTAAACATCTGAGCCTCAGAATGAAAAGTCAGTTGAATTATTTGATTACATTTGTTTCTTGATTATTCATATTTATAGTGACTCAAGTATTCAGAAAAAAATTCATCAGTATAAATAATCACCCATCATCAGAAGTAAGATTACTATCATGTACTGCCACAGTCTATCCATGCAAATATATTGCCTGGTTCTAAAAACCAAGACTCTAGAAAGTGTGGCAAAGACTGTCTAGTAGTGGTTCCCCCAGTTATTTTTCCCCAGCCTGCCTCCATCTTAGGCTTAAAAGTCATCTTACAATAAAGACAAACTAGGTTCGTTCCCGTTCATGATTAAACCTGTTTTTCAAATATTGGGCCATGCCTCACATGTAACCTTAACTACAAATGGTTCTGTATTACCTGTTCCAGGAATAGCAATCATGTCTTTGTTTGAAAAAGTTGTTTATAACCGTCTTACAACCCAACCTTTGTTTCAAAAGGTCACATGACCACCTATGACCACCTGTTATGACTGCCTTGTTATGCCCACCTTGCAACCTTGTCTTTGTTTTAGGAGGGACTAACTTATTATGCTTATGTTCTGCTCCTGTAATTCTGTCTATTTGGTCTGCCAAATCCCCCATTTGGAAACCTGAGCTATAAAAGCTTTGTCTTCCTCACATCCAATTCTGACCCTTGTACCCTGCCTTAGTGGGAGGCAGCTGGTGTATGTGAATAAAAAAGCTTGCTTTAATTAATCGCCTGCTTTAGTTAATGTGGTCATGATGGTTTGTGTCTGTGATCTTCCTCTTCCCATCTTTGTGGTTAACATACTCTTTTAACAGCTGAGTCTTAGGCCTACCTACGTTCCTAACTTTGTTTTTCCGTGCATACTAGCCTCTGTAGTTTTTTTCATTCCTGTGACTTAACCCTGTTCCAGCCTGAGAGCTTTGCTTTTTTCTGGACCTTTGGGGTTTTTTGTTTTGTTTTGTTTTTTTGTTTTTTGTTTTTTTCCTGGAGATTTTCTCCCCCAAACATCCCCCAGATCAGTGTAGTCCTCATCCTTGTAGGATGAGAGCTTCCCAGTCCTTCTCTACTGAGAGCTTTACTTAAAACTTCCCAGTCCTTCTCTACTGGTCTGAACATCCCCTCCCCCCAATAATACTATTTTAAGCTACGTCCATATTGCTTTTTCCTACTAGGAAAGAAGCTCATGGGGAAGGGGCTCTTCATTACCTAAAATTCCTTCGCAAGGAAATGAATTCGTGAATGAATGACTACACCCGTGGACCACTTCTTGGGGCTCACTCTGGCGTGGCTATATAAATGAGTCAGTCGAGTGAACAGAGATTTTAATCTGCACAAAACTGGTGCCACGAATAGGGACAGTCTGGGCTAGGGACAAACTGGAAGAACCAGCTTCAATCCCCAGCCCTACTCTCTGTGCGCAACTACGGCTGCGCGGAGCGTGTGGTGGGCGGGGCTGAGCCTCTTCTGGAACTGTCCGGAGCCAGCGAGACTTCGGTCCTCCTGGTGGGCTAGAGCGGCGCGAGCGCCTGGCGCACGGGGCCATGGAGGAAGAGAAGAGCTTCTCGGATATCTGCGGCGGCCGCCTGGCCCTGCGGCGCCGCTACTACTCGCCGTACTGCCGCGAGTTCGGCCTCAGCTCGCCTCGGCTGTCGCTGCGCTCGCTCACCGCTGTCACCTGCGCCGTGTGGCTGGTGGCTTACGGACTCTTCACCCTGTGCGAGGTAAAGGCCGGCGCACGACCCTCGCAGGCGGCCGGCTTTTAAAGGGCTCGGGGCTGCAGGGCGGGGACGGTCTGGGTCCCCGTGGTTGGACTGTTCAACCCAAAAAGTCTGTGCTCCTGGCCGTTTTCCCTCAGTGGGTGGCTGCCCTGCTCACCCGCGGAGCACACCTCCTCAGAGAACTGTCAGTGCCTGCTCCTCCCCGGGGCATCAGCCCTCACTGTCTAATAGCCAGCCTGCCACAGAATTCCAGAAAAGTGCTTCTGCCCCACCACACAGCTGTGCATACAGAAGGAGTGCTCTATTGCTTCCTTATCTCTGCGTTTCATGTGAACTACCTCCCTTCTCCCAACCCTTCCCAACTTAAGTTCACTTTCTAAAGAATTACCAGATTTAGAGCATGTTTTTTATGCTGTTTCCAGACTTTATAGTGTTTTTTTGTTTTGTTTTCTTTTCTTTTCTTTCTGAGCCTCCTTTTTCACAGATTAAGATGGAATTAATGGTTCATAAGATTGTGAAGATTCAAATGCTGTGAGTTTGTGACAGTTCTCAAGTAAAAACAGTCATCCTTGGTCCTTGGCCGGGATGAATTCAAGTTTCCCGTATAGTGCCCTGAAATGAATATATTATTCCAGGAGTGGTCTTGCCAGAGCTAAGAACACCAGAACTGTTTACTTCTGTAATTTTCATATTGCTTATATTAGAACATCCATTTGCTTACCCTCCCCCCTCTGTGTCTGTGTCTGTGTCTGTGTCTGTGTCTGTGTCTGGCTGGCTGTCTCAGTAGATATTAGTACTGGCTGGCCTGGAACTGGATTATAGGCCAAGTTATGTAGAATCTGCCCCTCTACCTTCCTGTGTTGGGAGCAAGGGTTTGCTTCATCACACCTGGCCCATTAGCTTTTGTGACATCAAATCATATGGCAGAGTGAAGTAATTTACATAGAACTAGATGAAATTAAGACCACTAATTTAGGGCTTGGGGGATAGCTCAGTAGGTAAGGGCTGCAGCTGCCTACCTGATGACCTTAGTTGAATCCTCCAAACCCACATGAAGGAAAGAATGATTCCCAAAAGTTGTCCTCTGACCTCCACACAATAAATACTATGCTGCACACCTTTAATCCCAACACTAGATAAGCAGAGGCAGGAACATCTCTAAGTTCAAGGCCAGCCTGGTCTACATCAGTGCACATCCCCAGCTCCAGAACTACCAGAGCTACACAGTGAGATCCTGTCTCAAACAAAACAACAAAAAAATATTTTAAAGACCCTAATTTTTACCAATTTTCATCTAAAAGTTTCTTCACAGGTCAGTTGAAGTTATTAAGTTGACCTAACCCTACCCCCAAATTTACAGTATAGTTGAATTTTTATTCTTTTTTTTGGACGGGTGTTGGTGGAGTTTCTCTGTGTCCTGGCAGTTGCTCCCAAATAACCACATGGGGACTTGATTATACATGCTCAGCCATAGCTTAGGCTTGTCTCCAGCCAGCTCTTAACAATTTAAATGAACCCATCTTTGTTCATCTGTGTGCTGCCCCGAGCTCATTTACCTCATCTGTGAACTTCCCATGTTGCTTCTTCCGAGTCTGGCCTTCAAGTCCCCAGACTCTGCCCTTCTTCCCAGCATTCTCTCTTTCCCCGAAAATCCTGCCTAGCTATCTGCCTATCAGCTTTTTATTAACAATGAGAGCAACACATTTTCACAGTATACAGAAGGATTATTTCACAGCAGAGGGGCATTAGTGTCTCACAATGTAGACCTGGCTTGTTTGAACTCATTATGTAGACCAGACTGGCCTCAAATGCAAAGACATTCACCTGCCTCTGCCTCTGCCTCCCAAGTGCTGGTATTAAAGGGATACATCACTGTGCCCAATTGAACTTTAATGCTAGCCTATGTTCTAGATACCTGTGCAATTATCTCAGAGGAGGACCAAATTAAATGCCCAGAGTGCTAGCTGTTTTGCTGAATTTCTAACTTCAGACTTAGAAGAAAGCAAAGGTTCAGAAGAGTAATAATGTAATAGTCTTGATGCTGGCAAAGTGACAGGTCTGGGCTTCGAAACCAGAGCAGCTTGACATTGAAATCCCTTTCCATTGTGCTTTAATCTAACAGATCTCAGTCAGTCATGTTGGTTTGTTTTGAGATACAGGGACTTGTTATGTAGCCTAGGCTGTTCTCAGACTCTCCACCATCCAGTGTCGGCTCCCGTCAAGTGCTGGAATTACAGGTGTGTATAAACTATGCCCAGCTCAAAATTGGTTATGCCAATTATACCACTGTACTCATATCTCTCGTGCACATTAACCCTAATGTCCTCTAAGTGCAGAAGCAATGCATGCCTCCTTATACTCCAACACTTCCCAGGGGGCTCTGTGTGCCAAAATTTAGATCTTTGCTCCTATTCATAATTATTCACGAAGGTAGTGAATATCTGCAGTGAAAAGAACCCTGAAAGGAGACATTCAAATATGTGCCTTAAAACTCTGACTCAAATGAATAGAGCATTGTTAGAATTTTAGCCAGAAAATGGACTTTGAGGCAGATTATCTTAACAGAAAGCCAAGTGGGTGACATTCGCTAAGCATTTACTGTTCTTCATCCTGTCATTCTCCTTGCTTTTAAATTCACCTTTCTGTTAACGTTATTACAACCGTCAGCGTGTACTACCTTCTCTGCACCAATGAGGTCATGCTGCCTTGCAAGTCTTCATGCAACAGTCCTGTGTGCTTCGACCTCTCTGGGTCCCTCTCTCTTTTTCCCTCTTCATCCTTTTATGCCCCTCATGCTTTCTCCCTCCCTCCCTCCCCTTCTTCCTTTCTACTCCCTTCCTTTGACACTTACAGTCAGTAAGTCAGTATTCTAGACTCTTTTATGTATCAGCCTTGCATCTGAGTTTTATCTTGCCTTTCTTCCATAATGCTTATTCAAATTGGGCTGTTTACAAGACACTGCCCTACACCTGGAAGATAATTACCTGAAATTTGATGTTTCTGGGTTACCAGGGGCCCAGTACTTACTCCTGTTTCTCGACCAAAAATAATTATCTGAACAGAAGTCAAGCCTTTTCTTTAAAAGACCCAGTTTAATATTTTAGGCTTTGTAGCCTCTGTCCCATATTCTTTTTGTCCTTTCTATTATTATGTGTATGGGTGTTTTTCCTGTATGTGTGTACCACATACTTGCCTGCTGCCTGAGGAAGTCCAAAGAGGTTGTCAGATCCCCTGGAACTGGAATTATAGACAGTTGTGAGCCACCATGTGGGTGCTAGAAATTGAACCCAGGTCCTCTGGAAGAACAGCCAGTGCTTTTAACCAATGAGCTGTCTCTCCAGCTTGTTTTTAGTTCTTTGTTGTTGTTTTTTTAGAGACAGTGTCTCACTGTGTAGTCTTTGCTGGCCTGGAACTCATTCTAGACCGGGCTGACATCCAACTCAGAGATCCACCTGCCTCAGTTTGCCGAATGCTAGGACCAAAGGAATGCACCATCATGCCTGGCTGGATTTGGTATTGTCTTGTTTAGAGACAAGGTCTCACTATAAACTTTGGCTGGCCTGCCACTTAGATCCATCTGCCTCTGCCTCCCTAGTACTGGTATTAAAAGTGTACACCACCAAGCTTGTCCAGTTAGGGTTATTGCAGAAGGTAGATGCTACAGTTTAGATTTGATATGTCATCTGCACCAATGAAGTCCTGCTTTATAGGCTATTCCTGGATGCTTTCATCATAATGCCCTCACACCCCATACCCCACTTTCCTTTCCCCATTCTTTCTACACATCTTTTGAAAAATATAATAATAAATTGGCCTCTTCTGTAGACCTCTGACCACCGCATCTCATTGGTCAGGATTGCCACCTCTAAATCAATCAATATTTATTCCAAATTCTATTAGGAAAAGCATGAGTGGCAATCATTCACGGAGTAGTATCAGCTACTGTGCTGAGTACTTCACAGTTGAAGTTCTGTCTGTAATTTTGTGCTGTATACTATGCAGGGGGCTATGAGAGGGAAAGCTCTGGGTCTGTAAGTTGTGATTTTGAGAAGAAAATTTTCTGAGAAAGAGGTGATGGCTGATGTTTTGCTGGGAGCCTCCCAGACCTATTCATTAGTAATCTGGATCCTTTTCATTCTTCGTGCTGTTCAAACACTTTAGGAGCTCAAGAGAAAGTGATTACCCCTTCATGCATGTTCCCTCATCTGTTCACCTCACAGCATAGTTACCAGAGCAAAGGCCTTCTTCCTCATTGTCCATTTGTCTTACTATGTAGCATAGATGTATGCATAGGAACATTTGGTGATCTTACTGCCTGTGTCTGGCTCTCTCCTCAGAACAGCATGATCCTCTCTGCCGCCATCTTCATCACCATCATAGGCCTGCTTGGTTACCTCCATTTTGTGAAGATTGATCAGGAGACTCTATTAATCATTGACTCACTTGGCATCCAGATGACTTCATCCTATGCTTCAGGCAAAGAAAGTACCACCTTCATAGAGATGGATAAGGTTAAGGATGTTATCATTAATGAGGCAATTTACATGGTAAGTGTTTAGGTGGTATCTCTGGGCTCTCCAGAGGAGGTGGTCAGCCCATAGGGTATGGTAGGATCTAAACTGAGTCTTAAAGCACTCTTTGCCACATAATTAAACTGAAGGAGCCTCCTTTCCAATACAGGTAGTTATTTTTTGGCTGTCATGCCTGAGAACCATAAAAGCAAAACTTACATTAAAATAAATTTTTTTTATAGTCATGCTTTCCTCAGTGATGGGTTATGTTCTAAGGAATTCATCGTTTACCAGTTTGCTGGTTGTACAGACATCACAGAACACATTTACATGATGGTACTCACTCAGACATCCCATTGATGAATCAACATATGTAATAAACAAGATGCTTGCAGTTGCTGCCAAGTGTACCACTGCCTCCTGAGTGCTGGCATTAAAGATGTGTGTCACCATGCCTGGCTAACAGACTTTTTTTTTTTGCCTTCTTATAAGTAGGAGTATTCTATTAAAAAGCATAGCAAATGCATAAACCATGACTGTTGCAGAGGTAGTAGATTGTCGTGGAAGAAGAGTCAGTATTTCAATTTTTATCTTGTAGCTCAGATGCAAAAGCATTTTTGTTTGTTTGTTTCTTTTGATTGTTTGCTTTCTTTTTCTGGGATTGAGGTCTCACTGTGTTGCTCAGGTTGGCTTCTAATTATCTAACATAATTTCAAGCAGCCACCTGCCTTGGTTTCTTGGTTGGTAGGACTTCCAGTTCATAGTAACATACTTGGCTTTATTTATTTATTTATTTATTTATTTATTTATTTATTTATTTATTTGAAGGGGCGGGTAGTCTTTTAAAGGACACAATGGAACAAAGGAACACATGAAATCATGACAGAAGACATGACAGTTTCAGCTCTGTCATTTTTTTCTTGTTTTGTGGTGGATACATGGAATAAAAGTGTACATATAAAGCCCTAAGCAAAGCTCTATGGCTTCAGAGTGGACATTCTGATCATATAGTGTTTGAGACTTGGCAAGTTTTTTGAGTGGCTACCTTAATCTAGCTGTGATGTTTCTATTTATGAGTATATTACAATTTGGTGACTTTTTTTTTTTTTTTGCTAGGCATGGTGGCTGTGCCTTTCATCCTAGAATGTGGGAGGCAGAAACAAGTGGATCTCTGTGAATGAAGCTAACTTGGTCTATATAGCAAGTTCCAGGCTAGCCAGGGATACATAGTAAGACCCTGTCTCAGAAAAAAAAACAAAAAAAACAAAAAGATTTTTTTATATATCAAATGAAAATAAACTTTTCTTCTACTCCAAAAGTTACCAAATATTTCACTACTTAGAGTTAATTTATGAAAAAGATTTTAATCTTCCTCTGAAGGAAAAAGAAACAAGATGAGTTTCGCAGAGACCTGTCTTGGTGTCTTTTCTTACAGCAAAAGGTGATTTACTACCTCTGCATCTTATTGAAGGACCCAGGGAAGCCACATGAGATATCCCAAGTAGTCCCTGTCTTCCAGGTGAGCGCAGTGTTCTTCCTTTCTCCTGTGAAATCCTGTCTTTTCTCTGTCTGTTTCCCCTTGCCTCTTTTGTTGAGATGGACATGAATTTCTGTTGTCAGAGTATTGGGGATGAGTAAAAGGATCCTTTTTAGATCTCAGGAGCCCTCTCTGACAAAGATACACTTTAAAAATATTAATAATTCACAAAACTTTAGAAGACAATTACCAGCCGGGTGTTGATGGCACACGCCTTTAATCCCAGCACTCGGGAGGCAGAGGTAGGCGGATCTCTGTGAGTTCGAGACCAGCCTGGTCTTCAAGAGCTAGTTCCAGGACAGCCTCCAAAGCCACAGAGAAACCCTGTCTCGAAAAACCAAAAAAAAAAAAAAAAAAAAAAAAAGGCAATTACCAATTATATGACCACTTCTGCTTACAAATCATTCTACTTCAAGCCTGTCAGTTTACCATTGTATAATTTTACATTGATATCATTGAGGTTGAGATATTTATCTCTTTCACTCTATATATGTCTTTTCTACCACAGCCAGTATTTTATTGCTAGGTTTTAAATAATGTCTAGATTATCTTTTCTTTTGATCTTACAATAAAAAAACCACTGGTGTCACAAGCCTGTAATCCTCTTGTTTTAAATCCTATTTCCTCTGCTAGCTGAGTAGAACCTAGAAATCAGTTATGTATTTGTAATAATTTTGTGTTCAACTTGTAACACTTTCTGAGATGGTCTGTCTCACTGTCATACAATTTTGTCAAGATAGACACTGTATTCTGCATGCCTGTAATCCCAGCATTGGGAGGCAGAGGCAGGCAGGTCTCTGAGGCCACCCTGGTCTACGTAGTGAATTCCAGGACAGCCAGGATACACACAGAGAGCTTGTCTCAAAACAGAACAAAACAAGCTGTCTTTTTATTTCCCACAAAGGCCAGATTTGGAGACCTCCCAGCAAAGAGTTGAGAGGTTTGACCTTGTGTCTCTTAGCTCACAGTTGTGTCATGACAAGACATATGTGAAATTGAGGTTGCAGGTGAATTCTATTCTCCTTGACTCTGCATTTCTCCTCCTTGGAATTCAGAGTGCCAAGCCCCGGCTGGACTGCTTGATTGAAGTATACAGGAGCTGCCAGGAGATTCTGGCACACCAGAAAGCCACATCAACAAGCCCGTGAATCTCAGCATTCAAAGACCAGCATTGTCTTTGAGCGAGGACTCCTAGACCAGAGTTGCTGGTTTAGGTGGACACAGTCCTGGGAATCAAAATGGATGAGATGATCTCAGAGCCATAGAGGAGGCAGCTGGAACTTGACTCAGTGTTTTGATGTAACATAAAGTTCGCCTTATAGGTTTTATCTACATTACTAATCAAGAGGAGACCTTAAGGATTTTGTCATATCAAAGGTAGGCCAGGCATAGTGGCTCATGCTTTAATGCCAGGACTCAAGAGGCAGAAGCAGGTGATCTCAAGTTTGAGGCCATCCAGGGCTACATAGTGAGGACTCCCCCCCCTAAAAAAAATGTACATGAAGATCACTTTGAAATTTCTAAGCATATTTATATTTGTGTTAAAATCTGAATTATTGAGTCTGATACCAGATTTTACAAGAAAAGTATAATTTCCATCTGTGTGGATTCTTGTCTAAAAAGAAAATTTTTTTTAAATGTATGAATTAGGAATAAAATGCTTTCCAAAGGGCTAGCCTCTGGTTCACCTAGCTCCTATAATCTGTGCAAGATGATTCAATCCACAGCTTAACTAGGGATGGTGTGGATGCCAGCAATTCAGCACCTAGGGGTATCAACAGGAGGATTGAAACTTTTGAGGCCAGCCTGGGCTACATGGCAAGGCACGGTCTCAAACTGTAAAATAAATATCCAAAACACACCGTAACCGCCTGGTTCACTGACAGCTTTATTGACAGGCATACATAGCATTTCAGCCATGAGTGTCAAGCACATTAGTACCTTTCTGTTACTTGGTATTTTCTATTGTTTCAAAAGCTGCTTTTGGCCAAGAGGGCTTAGATGAAAAGAGATTTCATGTTGGTCCCAGAAATGGGACTGTCATATTAAAGGATGAAAAAGCCAATTTACAGAAGCTGTTGTTTCTAAGGCAGTTTCTTAGATTCCTAGAGATCAGGAAGAAGAAAAGGAGCTGGGCAAGGTAGTCCTCACCTTTAATCCCAGTACTCGGGAGGAAGGTGGGTCTGAGCTGAGTTTTTGGCTAGATCTGGTCTACATAATGAGTTCCAGGACAGCCAGGACTACATAGTGAGACCCTGTCTTTGAAAAGAAGGAAAGGAAAAAAGAAAGGGAAGGGAAGGAGAAATTTTCAAGAAAGAGGCAGCTAATCTGACCTCCAAGTCTAGTGCGAACAGTTGTGTTCTTGGAGCTCTATTAACAAAACAACCAGAAAGTAGACCATATCTCTTTTGGCTTTTAAGGGCCACTTGGGATGTGGCCCGCTGGAACTGCATTCTCTGACTTCCACACTAGCCTTGAAGGAGTTGTCAGGACACTATAGCGATGTGACTTGAGGTAGACCTGTGTCCACTAGAACCCCATTCCTGGGGCAGGAGTTGGGGTTGAACAGAAATGGCTGCCTGCCTTGAAAGTCAAACTTGTTCAGAAGGCAGACTCTTGTGCCTTTTAAAGTCATGTTTGTCAGTTCAAAGGACAAGAAAAGAAAGTTTACAGCAACTGAGGCATTTGGACAAACTAATTTTGGCTTTGCAGTTTTTTTGTAGTGTGCAACATACATATTGTTGGGTTAAAGGCTTATTTCCTGGGTGTTGCTCCTATCCTTTTGTCCTTGTTACCGAAAGATAGAACTGCCTTACAGCTACACAATAAACTTAGTTTTTTTATATGTTGGAAAATCAAAGTATGAACTTTTGGTTTTTATTATTTGGGTGGAGATAAAGATCATCTTCATCTAAATCAATTAGGAAGTCTGAGTTGATAGGAATTACAATGTTCTCAGGAAGGCAAAAATCGAAAGAAACTTTCTACTTCCACATATTACTAGGGCAAATATCGTCCAGAAGATATCTACCAGAAGTGTTGGTGAGCAATCCAGGCCTTCTGGGAATGGAGGGGTCTTTAATGTTCCTGATGTGTTGTCTCCTGGCCTCGTAGAGCAGCAACAAGCACAAGTCACGTGCTTGGTCTTTCAGAGGGTAGGGAGATGATGACTACCTCATCCTTCAGTAGTAAGCACAGCCTTCACTAAACCCTGTCAGGCCTTAAAATGGCACAGGGAGGATGCAGACTGGATCTATCTCTGCCTGTCCTAGTCCAGTGTGAGAGAAAAAGCTTGAATCTTAACAGGAATAGTGTGCTGTCCTGAAAAGATTAGAGCTGTAGCCCCAATAGGGGCACAGCAAATGCCTCCTCACCGATAGTGGGGAAACTTGTCATTTTTTCTCCAGTTCTGCCAGTATTTCCATTTGGGAAAGTCGTCCAGTTTCAGAGATTTGTAGGCATTTGCCAGAGTTTAGGTGAATTAGGAATTTTAGTCCTATGTTGTTCAGGGATGTTCAGAAAACTTCAAGTATAAGCCCCCACATAAGGACCACGTACAATATAAAAGATGAGCTTCCCTGAGTATCAGTGCAGAAGCCCCAAATACAGTACCACTGCCCTGGTAACTATGGGCTGTCCCTGTCTCAATCTAGAATTAGGTAGCATCCAGACTCAGTATTCTTGTAAAGGAAATAGTAAGTGGTTTTGGTGTTGGGTCCGGATTTTAAAATGTTGGGCCTTGAGAGATAAGGCACCTAAAGAATACAAAGGTTTCAGAGACCCTGAAATACATACTTCACAGAACAGTTTTTGGAGGGGGCCATTAGACCCATCACAGTAGTAGTATGCTCCAGGATATAAACCTAATCCTAGAGGCACCAGTAGTGGCAGGGGTGTGGGGAAGAGAAACGTTCACAGCAAAGCTGGCCCCTTAGTGCAGGAAGCAGAAGCAAAGAACTGTCCATCCAGGTCTCGGGGCTGGCGAGCTGCAGGCAGCTTGGAAGATAGGTTCACAGTTGCAGAACAATGGTTCATGTAGCTGGCCATCATAAAGGTAGTTTCTGTGATCTGAGGAGGTCAGAGAAGTGAAGAAATTGAATAGCCTTGTCTTGAATGCCGATTTTCCCACTGGCTCCACCCGAACCCTGTGGGATGCTGATCACATACCAAGGCCAATGATTGTATTTGGGGCAGAATCTATCCAAAGTTTTCTATCTAAGCACCAAGCTTACCACATCACACCAAGCCAGAGTAAATTGTTATAGAAGCTGTCAGACCCACCTTGGGAGCAGGCATTTTGAAGATCAGCTTGTCAATATGGGTTTTCCCAGAGCTCTGGTCTGGAATGGATCTAATCACAAGCATGAAATCATCCTTGCAGCCACCAAACGTTGTCACTGAAGAGTAGGGATAAGTGATGTGCACTTGCTGTGGAAAGGAGCCAATTGAGTTCAGGGAAAACTCCATACCTGTTTCTTTTAGACACAGGGAGCCTTTATGAGGAAGGGAGAACCCCGAGGTGTCGATTATTTGGAGAGTAAAATCCTGATGTCTATAAGTTCTGTCTAGACTGTAGGACAACACTGCTGGAGCAGAGGTTAGAAAGGGGACCATGCCACTTAATTGAGAAGACAAATGTCTAAGAAAGGTTGGAACCAGCCTTTTCCTCTCATACCATGGTGTGGTGGTCCAGGATGCTGACACCGTCTTCATTCACAGCAATCCACACCAGAGTGTTCTCCTTAGAAGACAGCTGGGCAGGCTGCAGAAACAAAAGGCTGTCAGACCCACCGTGAGAGATTCTGAACCCTCTGAGAAGAAGGTACATCCAGAGAGTGATGGGCAACCACATCATTGTGGAATACAGAAAGTAGCATTTATACAGCATAGGGAATGCTGTGGCAGGAGGCATTTGGCCTTGGGGCTCTGCCACCCAACATCCGAAAGGTGGAGGGAATCACACCTGCCAGAACACTGGGTGGAAAGCTCTGAGCAGTGGAATACAGGCCAACCCAGGGGCTGGGTATGTAGCTCGGTTGGTAGATATTTTGTCCTGTATCCCAGTCTCTCACAAGCAAACTATATCTTGCTTTGACCAATTTCCTTGGGACTATAAAAGTAGTAGGAAGACAGTTCAATGGGATGGACTTTAGGTCCTTTCAGTGAGTTTGTGACTATTTGGTGGCCATTTCCTGCGTGTTTCTTTCAGGGCTACAGTGAAGTACTCCAGGTCTGTCTCTACCCAACAGCCTGGGGGAAGGAGAAGACAGATATCCTTTTTTTTTTTTTGAAGCTTTTTCCAACTTTCCAGGCCAGTGGCATTCTGTTATAATACCACTGTACTTTTACTGCACAGCACAAGTGACCATTTGTGTGCACAGACAACACACACACACACACACGCACGCACGCACGCACGCACGCACGCACGCACGCACGCACGCACGCACGCACGCACGCACGCACGCACGCACGCACGCACGCACGCACGCACGCACGCACGTTGGAGGTAGAGCTTGGGGGCAGGAGAAGTATTCTTAGAATGTGCAAGGTCCTGATTTGGTTCCTAGCATATCCCCAAAACTAAACAGTAGATTAATGTTGCTCAGAAAGATTGAAAAGTATGAAGAATAATGTACAACTGCCTGATTTTTCTGTTCTCACTAGTTGGAAAGCTTCCTGAAGGCAAGGGACTGATTTGTTCATTTCTTTAAAATTTTTTTTTTTAATTTATATTTAATGGTATGTCTGTGTGCCTGTACCCAAGGAAGCCAGAAGAGGATGTCTGATCCCCTGAGACTGGAATTACAGACAGTTGTGAGCCACCATATGTAGGCTGGGAATCAAACCCAGGTCCTATGGAAAAGCAGGCAGTGCTTTTAACTACTGAGCCATCTCCTTCATTTTTTAAACTTTAAACAGCTAGAACTAGAAATACTACGGATTCAACAACCTGTCTGTCTATGCTCAATAGATGAGTGGATGTCCATTTAGTGATCTGTAGCTGTAATGATCAGGACCTAGATCCAGTCTCAATGTCTGATTATAATGTCTGGTCACAGGGTAATGTCTGTGATTATCTGTAAAGTTCATGCATACCAGACATCTACTGAGGAAAACTTCCAACTGAAATTACTGTTTGCCTCCTGGCCTTCATGCAGAGGTGAAAGTAACTGTTGTCTGAGTAGGCTGATTCCCCTGGGTGGTCCCTCCCTCTCTACTTCTGGGCCTTTGGGTGGCCACTAGAGAGGAGTTGTTTAGGTTATACATTGTTTTGTCTTCCATCCCTTTTAAGTCTGAATCTTCATGTGTGAATTGGTTGAGCTTGTCTTTGCAGGAGAAGCACTGACAAGTCAATAAAGGAAGCATGAAGATAAACAATGAATTATAACTCCATTGTGGGCATGGAACTCTGAAGCAGCCAGAAATGGGTGGGGAGATGGCAGCTCCTAGGGTTTGATAGAGAGGAGGTGAGGGCTGCAGACTGGACTGATAGATATATGAGAGGGGGGCCTTGAGGAGAAACAGCCCTCTGGGGGTTTAGGTAACTCCTGTTCCTGTCACTCACCTGAGCAGCAAAGAGCTTAGCACCAAAGAGAGGCCATTTCCGAGCCACAGTCAGGTAGATGCGGATGCACTCAGAGGGGGAGCAGCCTTGCAGTGCTGCCCACTTGGTGGCCATCGTATCTGCCAGGTGCCTGGTTTGTGTGCATGGAAAGAAATGGTGCCAGTGAAGTGCCCGCCTGAGTTTCCCCACAGGCTTCCTCTCTTAAGACCTTGCCTCCAGCCTACCTCAGCTGTTCAGGGTGGGCTCCATTTCGATAGCGCTTTGGGTAGAACCTGTCGAGGATCTGCTGGAGGAGATGCTGAGCTTTGGCAGGAGGTGTACCCCCAGGGCCTGGCAGGACAGGCTTCTCCAAGTCCCCGTATTCCACCTGAGGCAGAAAGAGAAAACAGTCTGGGGGTGATATGGCTGCTGTTCGAGAGGTAAACAGCCCTTACCATATTACTGCTGTTTATCACATGATGATGAGGAGAATTTATTCCATGTTTCATAGACATTAGAGAAGCATCCTTAGGGTCTTAGATATTAGATCATCTAGATCAGCTCTCATTTGCAGCTAAATGCTAGAAGGTGGAGGGTACGACAGACTGTAGAGGACAGAGAGGGCTTGGTGTCAGACAGCTAGCTCAAGCATCAGTTCTGCCACTTAGCAGTTTTGTGTCTTTGTTCAAGTTATTTAAACTCTGAGTGTCAACGTCATTCTCCTAGGTGGGGATGAAAAGGACAAACGCAAATACGTTTGAAATGTTAGCACATGGCTTGCTATAGAGTATTCATATTGATGATTATAACTATGAAGAGCCACCATGTAGCCCAGGCTGGCTTGGAACTCAGACTGGACTTCAATGTATGCCAGTTCTGCCTCAGGTCTCCTAATGTGGGGATTTTATGTGTGCCACCACATCTGGATAAATCTGCACTTAAAGGAACCATGAAGATATCCTAGACAGCCCATGCAGACATCCTCCTAAAGGCAAGACAGGGGAGAACCATTCCAAACCTGTGCTCTTTCTAGTTTTCTACTTAGAATGTGGGATGGTTTGTAAAGTTTATCATGTCCATGGTGTCACGTACACTGCTCCTTTACATACCCTGGAGGCAGGGAGGAGGGAATTGTGTTTTCCGCATACACATAAAAAACTGAAGCACTGAGAAGTGACTTGTCCAAGTTCTCCCACTGGAAGAAGACTGGGACTTCTGGGTCAGTTTTTCAATTCCCAGTCCTATTCCACACACAGCCTCTGTGCACAGTAAGTAAGGAGACACTTCTCTCTGTACCACAGAGGCCCTCTCCTTGCTGCCACAGGATCTACAGTCTCCTGTAAGGTCTTATGGTGTTTCTAACAGAGAAACTCACCTGGGCCATCAAGGCAGCCATTTCAAGAGCCAGCTCCTTGGTCACTGGGAACCTTCCTGCCACAATTTCTCCGCTGGTTTGGAAGGCAAGTAGCAGCCGCTCTCGCTCTGTCTCCCCTTTGACTTGACTTCGAAAGTATAGTCTATAGGGAAGACAGTAAGAAGCCAGGTCTTAATTGGCACCCCAAACAAGAATGAGAGGGCTTCCTCTGGATCTTTACCTTGATTCCTAAAGTGGAGATAACTGTTTATGCCATTTGTAAGCCTCTTTTCTACCACCCAAGAAATGCGTAGCCACGCCTAACCTAGCTGTGGGCATGCAGGTCTCACCCACGAACAGGTGGTTGTTCTGAACACACCACTAGACTTACTGCATTTTGCATGAGGAATCTGGTACCTAGAATGACAGCTGATTAGGGTTCTGGATGAGCTAAGACTCTAAGAGACTAATGGAAATTACATGCCTGGAGACATACTGGGATAGATTTCTCTTATTTAAACTGGTAGAAAGTATTTGTTTATGACCTATATGAAATATAGGAAATTTTTATTTTTTAGCCTTAAATGTCTTTAGCCTCACATAAGGGGACATACAGCCACCCCATTACATTGGTATGCTTTTGTGGCATTTATGCATACACATGTCCACAAAGTAGTACAGAGAAGGCTGAAAGAACACCTGAGCTACTAGGGTCTCACGAGGGATCAGGAGCAGGACCAGCCTTCGACCCACCTGATGACTGCCACTTAGGGTGGTAATTATAGGCCCCTATGCCTTATTGGGACAGTTTGGGAGGTGATGAGCTGGTGCCCAGGGGCAGCCCTCATGTTCACCCCACCCTCAGGCAGCTCCCAGGACCTGTTCTTATACATCAGCTTCACGACGCGTGTCCCACCCTCAGACTTTCCTGGGTGCAGCTCCTTCAGCGTTTGTTCCCACTTGGAGATGGCATCACAGATCTTGAATAGACAAAAGTCTAAAGTCAGAACAGTCCCTTGTGAGGAGAGTCAGGTCCAGCCAGACCTGGACTCTGGCAGAGCCGAGTGAGGGTTCTGTCATTAGAAGGTTGCCCTGTGAGGCCCCAGGCTGCCAGGATGGGCTGTGTCTACCCTTTCAGTGAAGAGACAGATGGCACCATGGATGTAGTGAGCACCCAGAGAGGACTGTTGCCTTGCTGGCTTTGTGAAGGCTGACCTCTTGAGAACTAGGCAGGTCCCAGTTAAAATCCATGGCATCGTGATCCGTTTGTCTTTCACTCACATTCTCCTTTCAATGAAATGCCTGCTATGGCCAGAGCCTTACAGGTACCCACCCATACATGCATTAGAAAGAAATGTGGCAGTTTTTCCATGCACTGCTAAAGACTAGCCCTTTGTTCTAGAACAACAAAGAAAGCAGATGCTGGAGTGAAATGCACCCATCCAGTGTGGCAGTATGTTACGATAAATCTTTAGAAACTGCTCTTGCCTGGACTGTTTGTTGCTGTATAAACTAGACATGCAGGACCCACAAGAAAGTGACTGTTAAACTTACAAACAAGACAGTACTGAAGGGTTCCTGTTAAAATGGAGAAGTGTGCCAGACACACTATGGCCTATAGGCTGAAGATGGATGCCCCAACGTTACAGAGGAACTTTGGGTGACTGTCCAGGTAGCAAGAAGTCTCTGTCAATTCTAGAGTTTATATATTATCCTTCTATGGTCTTTGATAGAGTTGAAGACAGGTAGTTATGGTTATAGTTTTCCTCAGTTATTATAAAAGATAAGTTATCTTTCTTTTTATTTAGACAGAAAAGAGGAGATGATGGGGAATGTACTGTGTATGTTTATCTTATTGATTGTTAAATAAAATACTGTTTGGCCAATGAGACAGCAAGTAGACGGGACTAGGAGTCAAAGAGGATTCTGGGAAATATAGTAGAGAAGTGATGATCCAGACAGGAAATGACATAGCAAGGAGACTCATATTTAAGCGAAGGAGAAACAGGAAGGGCCCCTTTTTCCCGTTTGCCTCCTCCAGCGGCAGGATGTGAGCCACCGGCAAGGAGGGACGCCAATAAGGCGTCCGATAAGATAAATCTTATAAAATATATAGATATATGATAATTGAGACTGAGCTAACAGAGGAGAATCCTAGTCATTGGCCAAGCAGCATTTGTACCTAATACAAGTTTCTGTGTATTCAATTTGGGCTTAACTCGGGCGGGCAGATGGCATAAAGCTCACACGTGGCGGTGGGTCTCAGGCGGCTTTTGGCAGAAAGATTTATCGTAACAGCAGTACATATCCAAAAATGCTTTACACCCTCGTGGAATGAGCCCCACCCAGACCACTGTACAGATCAACTGTCTCTTTCAAAGGCTTTCACTTACAGAGGTACCGTGAGGATCTACCCCCTAAACTATGGTTGAGTCTATAAGCATAGGCAGACGAGTAAAAGCTAGGTGATAGTGCACAGCCTGGCTCCCACTGGGTCTACTCTTAGCTGTTGACCTAAGGGGGCAGATATAATTGGCGGCAGGCTAGGCAGGGCCTGCTTATCTTTACACTGAGCCAAGAGGCTCTTCCCCTGAATGCTTCGGAGACAAGACTACGAGGATCTTGTCTCCAGAGTCAAAGTCCCATGTAACTTTCCCTGAGGGCACAGATACATTTTAGGATGGCACACAAATGCTGGCCTAGAGAGATCACCTTGGTTTCCACGCCAGATAGGCTGCTGACCAGTTAGTTAGGCACATACTGGATGAGCTTTATCCCCACCACCTATATTTCTGAGCTAAGAGAGGTGTGTGTGTTTTCAGGGAGGGGGCTTACCTTGACACGCCCTTGAAGACAGTGCTCTAAGTCTCTGCCAGAAGGATCATCAGTGAAGAGGGCAAAGCCAGACTGGGATGGCTTCCTCATGCCTGTCTCCTGGTTCAGCCGCTGGAGGAACTCATCAACTGTGGAGGAGCCATCAAAACCAACCACCTGGAAATGGAGAGAGGCACCCTGAACCAACAAACGTCCTGAGGGATTGTCACTGGGGTTGGTACAGGGTAAGGGCAAGAAAAGGCCAAAGCCAGATGGTTTCCACATTCACATGCACAGGAACCTGGGCCTCCCACTGTAAACTGGAGCTGGACAGAGGCCTAGGCACTCCTGTACAGTCAATATTCTGGGGCTTCTATCTCATGCTACTTTCTGGCCCAGTGTTTCGCTTCCCTGGTCAGGCAGCGGGTTCAGAAGACCTACCTATAAGACACCATAGTAAAGCACTATGGGACTCAAGCTCCTTCTCTGTGCCTACACTAATTGTGCCACTCCCACCTCGAGTCTAGGCCATCTCTTTTGTTGATGTGCCTATTAATCTGAAAGCCTACAAGGCTTAGTGCACTTACAAGTATTCTCTGGAGGGCGATATAGAAAGACGTGGGGTAGGGAGCATGCTCAACTTCCTTACCTGATAGGTCCCATTGGCAAAGTGCACAGGGATGCTGAAGGGTAAGGAGTGGTGGAAGGGGTTTCGTAGCAAGATGGACACTACTTCCATACGTGATGGCCTGGCCTCCCTTTCTCCTGTCTGCAGGGTCCGCTCCACTGCCCTCTGGCAGTATGTGGCATACTGGCCAGTTTCATTTCTAAAAACAGAGATGGGAATAGTAGGAATTCCTTCCTTTTGGCACACTAACGTGCATACCCAGACTTAGTTGGGGTAAAAACTAACTGGACAGGGTATGGGGACCTAAACCTAGTATGGGGTGTTATTACATTTTTATTTCAGGTGGAGGCACACTTATGGAAGCCAGAGGACAACTTGTGAAAGTTGGTTCTCTCCTACCATGTTGCTCCTGATTGTCAACCTTGTCAGTAAGCACCTTCACCTACTGAGCCATCTCACCAGCTACAACTGTCCCTGAGGACCGATCTGCAGCACACAGCTGCCATAGACATTTTCTTTTGTTTTTGTTTGTTTGTTTCTTTTTTAAACGAGTACTAGGGATCTAACCCAAGACCTTATACATACCAGGTAAGTGCTCTACCACTGAGCTACACCCCCATCCCTGCATAGATATTTTCTTGCAGAACCCAGAACATAAACATTTGAGGATAATATGGATAGCATGGCTTCACATGAGAATGTCCCCAAAATACCAAGGACACATGGATTGGTATCCAAAGAAGTTAAAGTATGCTCAGATCTCCACATGCTCATGGGTACCTGGGGATGGGTGAAGTCTCTTAACAACCAAGCAAATCTGAGGGGAAATGCAGACAATTCAGCCTCATCTTCCCCCTCATCCTTTTGAAACACAGCAATCAACAGTGTAGGAGTGGCAGGGGAAATGCTTTCACTTACCTGGGATCTGCATGGCGTTGAAGCTGCTGCTTGACATACCAGAGGAAGTGATGCTGAGGCAGGAAGAGTGGGGCACACAGAGCCAAGAGCTGCCAGCACTGCCATGGAACACAGACAGTGTGGGGTGAGTGCTGGGACCCTGCTCTCGAAGCTCTGAGCCACAGCACCTTCACTATTCTTTCTCCACACCAGCATCTCAACTCTCCTGTCAGGCCCTACCCAGGACAGCAATCACATTCTGACCAGGCACAGATCGGGCTAGGACTGGAGAACACCTGCCCAAGCACCTGCTACCACCCCCTACCCTTACACAGCTCTTAGAAGTGTTCCAGCCAGTTGTTATGTCCCCAGCCTGTGCCCACCTGCATAAGAGAGTACTTCTGAGGCGGGCGGCAGCTGGTCTGCTTCATGAGCTGGCAGTAGATCTCACTCTGTAGCTCAGGGTGAACAAGGCAGACCTGCAGTGCTGTCTGCGCCAGGGACACATGGTAGTCCACGGAGGCTGCCTCCACAGGCACGTTGATGAAGAGCTGGCAGGACTGGAAGGGGATGACAATGGGCACGGGCAGGGGCAGCCCACTGGTTATTCTTGTGACAGGCACCGGTGCAGCAAAGCCTCCGGGAAGGTCAAGCTCACCGACTGGCAGCCCTTTCTAGAGGGAACACTGTTCCTGCTCATGAGGCCGAAAGGATCTCCTTCAGGAGCAGAATCACACCTTCTTTAAATGTAATGTTTTCATTACATAAGCATTACATTAGCTTGCCTGCATCAGCAGAAAACATTTTTTGCAAGACAGGGTAGCACAGACTGGCATTTAACTCCAAGTCCTGCCTTTGCCTCCTGTGTGCTGGGATTGTGGACATTGTAGCAACACACACTAGCACCACACTAGCAAGGTTTTTTGTTTTTGGTTTTTTTGCCAGAAAATGCAGATGGGCACAAAGAAGACTAAACTAGGTCAGAAATCTCTGATGCCCCAAAATGGTGCAAACTGAGCCTTTTCTGTTGTTACTTGAAGGGGATGGCAGCTCAAGGGAGAGCTTTGGCTGGCATTTCCCAGAACCCTCAGAACTTCCTCCTGGCCTGCAGAACGGTTATAGTCCTGCTATAAAGGAAGCCATAAAGGGGACCCTGTGAGACTTTCTTGTCCTCTCCACAACCCTTGGGCCACCCCATAATCACACAGGTCTCCTGTGCTATGATGAGCTCAAGCTGTGCCAAGCAGAGCCTGGTTACATGTGGGCACCAACAGCCAACAGGCCTGGGCTCCACTCCCATGTTACCTTGAAGAGCTTGAGAGCCTCCGTCTGTAGGGCCTCAGAGGGCAGGGTGGTAAGGGAGTTACATAGCCCATCCCGACTGTAGCACAGCATGGGGTGCCTCCAGAGCGGGGAGTCTGCACAGGGCACAGACCAGAACAGTGGCAGTTACTACAGAGGAGAGAACTCGCCGCCTACCCTACCAGCCCCAACTCTGACTTGCAAGGAAGGCAGTGGTTTAACTCTGGGAAACATGGGTTTTTCTGGGTTGATCATCTACAGACTGAAGGCCATGGGGGTGTGTACTGAAAACTGCACATTCCCTCGCACGGCTGTTGAGGAAGGCAGCCAAAGCTTTGCTGAGGAGCCACAACCAGGCTAAGTAGACAAAGCTGTGAGTGCTGATGAGCACAAGTGTCTGCATGCAGGAACGGCCTTCCTTGCAGGATCAGGTTGAAGGAGCAGATGCATAAGCTGAAACAGACCAGCCCTCAGAGAAGTAGTAAAAGGTATGTGTGGTGTGCACCTCTGGGTAGTTCATGAGGGCCCTGAGAAGTAATTGCCAAATAAGGACTCCCAGACATCCCAGGATTAGGTTAGTCTGGTCCAAATTGAGGCTTCATTTATTAACAAACTCTTAATTATAGATTAACCAGCTGCCTCCCCTCACTCCTACCTCTACCCCCCAAATCTTCTGCATAGCTAGCAAAGCTACAGATTAAACAGAGTAGAACATTTACCCAGGTGTCTAGAAAATCTGTTTCCCAGATTCCCTCACATACAGTGGTTACCTCAGTGTTTTGGCCACAGACAGAGAGACCCAGGAGCATGGGATGGGAGTTCCCCAAGGCATTTTTTTTTTTTTTTTGAGACAGGATTTCTCTTTATTGTTTTGGAGGTTGTCATGGAACTCGCTCTGTAGACCAGGCTGGCCTCGAAGAGATCTGTCTGCCTCTGCCTCCCAAGTGCTGGGATTAAAGGCATGCGCCACCAAAGCCCGGCCTCCCCCAGGCATGTTTAACACAGCTTAGGTATAGGAGTGCTCTCTTTGCTTCTTCTCCAATAAGTGCCCTGCCACGCCCCTTCAGCCCAGGCCGCTCTTGCCTTACCTGGGTCTCCCTCACCATCCATCAGTTTCCCAATGAGCTGCTCATAAACAGTGCCCACCTTGGCGCTGCTGCCTCCTGCAGCCACTGTGAGGTGGTAGAGCCATGTGTCCTGGGGGAGGACAGAAAAATAATCAGATGCTAATGAGGTAGAAAGAGTAGAGACAAGAGCTGGTTTTGGGGCAGGAGGTGGAGCTGAGTGACAGCAAAAAAGAAGTGTGTAATTTTAAGATGGGAACAGGGTATACACCTGTCATAGCAGAATCTGGGGGAGCTGAGGCAGAGGGATCTCAAGTTCAAGGTTGGCCTAGGATTATGAGACCCTCTCTTGGGGGCGGGAAGTAAACTTTCACTAGATTGGCTAGCCTGAGTCAAGGTCACCACTCCAAAGAGAAAGATAGGATCAGGTGGATGTAAACCTACATTTCCAAGTTTGTGGTGCTATATCATGGCCCATGATGAAGAGATGCTGGTCACTTGGAATGAGTTCAATAGATATTCAAAAGTAATATTCCCATTCAGTGTCCCAGAAGAAATAAACTTGAATTTGGAAAGCTCAGGAGAAAAGAGAGAGGGAAATCAAAACCCAGGTCCAAGCTAGGCCACAAAGGTCCAGCTCATCCCTTACCTTTTCATGCTTGGTGCCGATGAGGAGGTAGGTGGGGCTGTGCTCTGGGGGGTGGATCACCAAGGTGCAGTGGGAGGAAAGCAACCGTCCAGTTCCTCCAGCCTCATAGTCTTCATCGGAGTCACAGGACCGATCTACTTCCTCTATGTGAGCATCCCGCACAGGTAGGCAGCCCAGGGGTCTCTGTGGACATGAGCCTTCCATGAATAGGACAACAGGTGGACAGGGGAGTCTCCCTTTTCTGAGTGCTTAGGCTGTGTGGGGCTGGAGATCACACATGTGGAGAGAGGGCTTGGCAAGGAGATGGAAGCTGCAGCACTGCAGCCAGCCAGAAGCAGAATACTGTGCTTAGGAAAGTGCAAACTGATGACAGTGGCCATGATGCTGGTCACATGCTCTGGAGGGAGTAGGACTTGTATTTGTGATAGGGTGTGGTGTGGTAGAAGGTAAAGCTGGGGACCGCCATCAGTGGCATGCAAGGTACACAGTTTGGAGGAGGCGCTGTTAGGAGCTCAATGAAATACCTTGTCCTCATGGCTCCGGTAGTAGTAGAAGGTTTTCCCAACAAGGGCACACCAGACCAGCTTGGAGTGGCCATGCTTTACCTGTTAAGTGAAATGACTTTATTAGAACCAGGACTCCAAAATAAATCCAGGGCTAGCCAATACAGGCCACAGGGAAGGTTGCCAAAGTCAGGTCTCCTTTCATAGTGAGACTGCCACGGTAGGTACTCTGTGGTAAGCCAGTCACAACTGGGCCACTCAGAGACCTATGACCTGCCACTGACAGATTCTCCAGGTAATCAGAATGCAGATATGGGAATAATCTGCTAGTTGGCATAGGCCAGAGCTGTAAGGATGCTATGAGGTAAATAAAGGCCTTGGCAGTCTGGAGCCTTAAGTAAGGTACCCTAACCACCAGGGGACAGCAACTGAACACTCATAGAGATGAAGGGTGGGCTTCTGGGAGGCAGAGGCTCAGAAGGAAAGAGTCTGAGCACCAAGCTTGCTGGGCTCAGTAACTATCCCTGATCTAACCCACAATAACTCACCCTGTTAGTGTGCTTCCTAGTTAACTTCCCTTTGCTGGGCTTAACTAGGGTCTCTGCTTCTAGGAAAACCCTAGTTAAAATGTCTTTAGGCAAGCTTGGGATACTAGTCTTTGAATGACAGTCACACTGGCTTTATTCAGGTCTTTGTACTGTTAATCCTGACACAGCTAGTTACACTAGGAGGGAGGGGAGGGAGCGGACACAACAGATGGGAGACAGTGCCTAATGTCCTAAACATTAAGTAAAAACTTTTCTTTCCCTTCTGTCTTGAGAAGTTATTCTAAAAGCCCACATCTCTGTTTCCAGAATCACCACCATCATTTTGTATGCTCAGACCACGTTTGAGGGCCCACTGGTTAAGCAGTTCTTGGAGAAAGAGCCCATCTCTGGGTACACCCATGCCTGGCTTCCATTACTTCCCTATCAGTTCCACCTTGTACCTTGGTCAGCCAGCCCTTCACAGTAGGTTTGGCGCCCCCTTGATGCAGAGCTGGCGGTCCAATGACCTGCACCTTCAGAAGGCTCTGTAGGACACGGATCCATTCTTCCAGGAGGCTGGGGGACTCTGCTGTTAGGTAGTAGGTTTTGTTCTCAGAGATGAGCTGTGGGGATAGAGAGGGGGGATTAGAGCCAGTGAAAGACAAATCCTTCGACCTACTGGGCCTTCCAAAATGCCACCTATTCTCTCCCTTCTTTTCCTTTTTGACTTTCTTCCCTTCCCTTCACCTCTCATTCTGTTTCATGCTCACAACCAAAGATCATATCCTACTCCTGGTATGAAATCATTCACTCGTGCTTATTTTTGTCTCATCTTTGCTTCAATCACAGTCATATCTAAACCCTACACCATACTGTATATCTAAAATCCAGGACAGCTGCCACGAGAAGGCTCACCTGAAATGTCTGTGCTCCTTCCCCTCGAACAATCTGGCAATGGGAGTTCAGATCCACTTGACCTTGAGGTTTCCGGATGACATCACTCTGTAAAGGAGGGGTAAAGAGGAGAGCATTGGAGTTTGGAGGCTTCTCAGATCATCATTTTTTATTCCAAGTTACAGGCGCAAAGTGATTCCCAAAATTCTCAGGCTATGGACAATGAATGACTTGTTCTAGATTCTTCTAGCAAAACAAAGCCATAATTAGGAACATGAGACCCTCTAAAGCAGGCCTCAAGAGATCTCAGAAGAGTCAGCCTCTAAAATTGGATCAGAAGCTACTAGGTTTCTGTTGATCAATTATGTGTGGTGACCAGTGCCTATCATCCCAGCTACTCAGTAGGCCTGGAAGGAGGGTGAGGCTGGTCTAGGCAACAGAGCAAGACCCAGCTCAAAAAGAAAACAAAACCAAACCTTTCTATTCAATCCTTACACCCACAGGTATGGCAAATAAAGTGGCAATAAGTCACTATTATCCTTTCCAGCACTGCTGCAGACATCATTAATTGATAGTGCCATGTTTCTCATGGAGGAATTGAGGTCCAGCATCCTTAACACAGAGCTGGAGACAGCTCCAACCAAGCAAACAGCTATACAAGAGACAAATCCATTTTTGCCTTCTTTAAAACATGATGATTGGTTCTGCCAAACTAGTTCTCAACATTCAAGGCCCTCAATTCCAGACACTGGAGGAAAAAAGGGAAGCAATGGATATTTCTGTAGTACAATCCAGAAAAGGTAAGGGCAGCCTGGAAACATCCCTTTACAAGGCCAGACATTAGAAGAAATCAGTTCTGAAGGAAGAGGAAATTGTCTTGATAGCCTCCCCAGCTTGTTTCAAAAACAGGTGACCACCTCAGAGTCCCCTGTGTGGTTTAGCACCTCCAAAGGCCAATCAGGCTGCCCAGTCTGTCACCTGGCAGGCCTCATGCCACACTGTCCTTCCTCCAGCCCCTCATACAGTGTGTGTCTGGGCTGTAGTCCCTGTCATTATGTCCTGGGGAGGGCCTCACCGGAGACTTGTAGTATAGGATTTGTCCCTGTCTCAGGACAAACCAGCGCCTCTTCCATGTCTTCACTCGGCTCCCCATTTTCAGCAGGTAACCTGACTTCTCCAGTGCCTCCTGAAGTGGAAGCAAGGAGGAAAGAGGGGACAAAAAGGGAGAGTCACATGAGGCTCCTGAGGGTTGGAAGGCAAGGAGGGAAAGGGACACAAAGGGGAAGTCACATGAGGCTCCTGAACACCACTCAGGACAAAATGGTCTAGACCACTACATCATTTTTTTAAGAAAAAAATCATTGACCACCTATGAATGTTTATTTCCAGGTTCTGTACACTGATGAGATCCAGAAGAGAAGTGAATTAAGAGTGGCAATCCTACCATAGAGGGATCCCAGTGATGACTGGGGAAGGGACACCTAGCCCCCACGAGAAGGTGGTATATCAGGGCTGCAAGTAGGAGAGAAGCTGGCCAGGGAAGGCTTCAGGAAAGAGTGGCATCTAAACTAGCCTACAGGCTGGTGGTTCTCAACCTTCCTAATATTGTGACCCATTAACAGTTCCTCATGTTGTGGTGACCCCCAACCGTAAAATGATTTCATTGCTACTTCATAACTGTAATTTTGCTGCTGTTAATAATCTTAATATAAATATCTAATATGCAGGATATCTGATATGTGACCTGCTATTCTAAAGCAAAGGCCAGATTCCTTTACCAAGACCAGTTGAGAGAAGGAAGGCCATTCAAGGCATCACAGATAGGAGAAAGCAGGTAGGTCTCTGAGGCCCAGGCTTCCCAGCCATAAACATGGTCCCACAATAACCATGAGGACCATGAGGCAAACGAGACATGAAGCACAAGCCAAACACTGCCCCAGCACCTGGCCTGCTAAAGCTTAACTGTTAGTCATGGTGGCATCTGAGGTCAGGCTGAAGATTAAACAAGGTGACAGGTGCCATGATCCTCATGGGGTCTGAGGCACTCCCTGGACTTGGGCTCGTCTTTCTCCATCATGGGGTCTGTGCACAGCTGTCTCTGTTAACGCTTCTAGAGCCTCCTTCCCACTACCATCTTCAGGTCCTTCCTCTCTCTCACTGCTTCTTGTATGGGTACTGAGGCCCAGGCAGCCTCTGCTCAGGTTTGCTCCTGCCCAGGGCCCCTTCCCCATTCACACACAGGGCTATGTACTCTGCTCACCCCATCAGTGGAGTACGATGAAGTCCGCTGCAGTTTGTGTTCAGGCTCTGAGTAGTCACTGTCTAGTGAACAGGCATCAGGAGGGATGGCGTAGTCACCCTCAGAACTCAATGAGGACATAGATACTCCTGGTCACAGGGGAAGGAATCAAGACTGGGGTCACACACCCCTCCCAATACCCAAATGGCCAGAAAGTGTAAGGCTTCCATTCTCCACTGGGATCCCCTGAGTCTAGAGCTGAGGGTAAAACTGGTAGGAACCCTGGTAGAGATGAAGTAGGAAAAGACTGAGAGTCCCCTCTCCTCTGTGTACCTCTCTTGATAGCCCGGGGGCTTCCCAGGCCACTGGTCTTCCTATACTCAGAGCAGGGGACTGACATCCGGAAACTTGCTTGAGAGCTGCAGTCGTCATCAGATCCAGAGGATTCATCCACAAAAGGCACATTGCTGATCTGTGTGGCTTTCTGCAAGACAGACACCTCCCCAACTACAGCTCAGGCTTCCAAACAAGCTGCTTCCACACAACAGCTGGACCTAGTTTGGTATGCCCACATAACCTGTCTGGGGAAACATGAGGCCATCACCCAGCTGAGGCACTGCTGACTAGACAGCAGTCCCAAGTAGTGTAAAGTTGCTTTCTGACCTCACTCTTTTGGTCTTACCTCCATGCTGCACTTTGGGTCCCCAATTCCCTTACCCCAACTTCTGTGGTTCCCCAAAGGGCTCCTGTTTCTTCCACTAGGGGGCCAGAGAGCCACGCCACAGGCTAAATGTGGGACAGGACACTGAGACAGGGGAAGTGATCTTGTAAACACAAAACTAATCCTTTAAGAGTGTGGCAGGGGTACAGCCAAAAGATGACTCTAGTGCTGAGTATGGTGGCACAGCCCTTAATTCCAGTACCCAGGAGGCAGAGGCAGGCAGATCTCTGAAGAGTTTGAGGCCAGCCTGGTCTATATAACAAGTTTCAGGCCAGCTAGGGATACACAGTGAGACCCTGTCTCAAAACAACAAACAAGAACTATTGTGACAGCATTTGAATGTGGGAATGTAGCTCAGTGGTATAGCACCCATCTAGCAAGAAGAGGCCCTGGGTTCTAAGTCAAGCACTGCAAAATCAAACAAAAACTAGTAGCAAAAAGATGAAAATATCATGTTGCAGTTACATGCTAAACTTTAAGGATAAATTATAAATCAGGATAAAATGATGGGCGGGCAGTGTTCTTGTTACTGCCTAGCTTGTTGCCTTCTGCAGTGAACTAACAAACTTGTTTTCTTCCAAAAAGAAAAAATAAAAAAAACCCACACGTGGTGGGCTGAGCTGCCTGACCATGGTCACTGCTGAAGACACCTGACCTTCAACCCCAGTGCAGGTACTGTGCTGGGACTAGGGGCTTCTCCATAGCAGTTTCTTACCCCCTTCAGTGCTGTGTAGACAGGCACCGTGACATTCTTGTAGACAAGGCCAGAGAAAGCTCCAGGGAATGCAAGGGCAGGAGGGCCTGAAGCTGAGGGGGAAGAGGGAGGAGATGAGCTCAGAAGGTACAATTCACCAGCCGGCTCAGCTCGGGGAGGTAGAGAACTGGGTCAAAACCTTCCTATCTCCTCCCACTGCTTTCTTTCCCCTTGACTTTCTGGGGATCATGGATAAAGGGCCCATCACAAGAGAACCCAAGGTCTACCCTTTAACCATTTCCTCCCCGGGAAGCTTGCACCATGTCCCACTCTTGCTCAAGTGAGTTACAAATATGTGCCCATGCTATGGGTGGCCAGTGACTCTTGAGCCAGGAGCAGTGCCCATCTGAGTCAGGGGGCTCATGGCTCTTCCACCCAGTTCAGTCCTGGGGGAGGCAAACACTATGAGCTAGAAGGCAGGACTTTAGGACCCTTCCTTGCTAGGTAATAAACTGAACTTATACAACTCCCTTTCTGGTTCCAGGCAGCCCTCACTGCCTGCTATATACCCCAGGGAACAGGAGCCAGGCCCGCCAAAGACATTTTAGGACTTCTTGCCCCTCGTGTACTCACCGCACCAGGCAGCATCACTTTGGGACGACACATCTGACAGCTGCATGCCTGATGTGGCCATGGCATAGATCCGGCTCTCCTGTAACAACAAGTCCAAGATGTCAGGACTGCTCACCTCAGCCCCTCCATGACCGTGGAGGGAAAGGTGACTTAGGGGTAGGCAGACCTGGGTTCACCACCCAGGACAGGCTGGTCACTGGCTGAGGAATTTTAAGCAAATTTCTTCATTTCTAAGCCTCATTTTCCCCAGCTCTAAAATACTCCTGACCTTTTAAGAGTCTGCTTAATGCAATCAACTGATGTAGTTAATTAATGTATAATATAAACACTTCATGCCTGGGGCATAACCCATGCCCAGCAGATTTTCATTCCCTCTGGCCTCCACTTGAGGCAAAGGAGGTTCAAAGAGAGCTGGTCAGTAAATTGTCTCTCCATTTCTTGGATTCTTGCCTATTTTAGTGACTCCTAGGTCCCAGGGTCTCACCCCAGAGGTTGAGAGTGTTGACAGTGAGGAAGGGAGAACCCCAGGAATAGAGATGTTTGTAATTCAGCTGTTTGAAGGCTAGGATACATAGCTTCCTACAGTAGCAGGGTGCACATGTCAGGCTTCCAAGGCCAACCACAAAGCTACTGTAGCCCAACAGGGTTCCAGACCCCTAAGGTAAAGCACTTCTGCCAAAAATTCTGGCACTAACTATGCATGCCTTTGGGTCTGACGTGAACTCAAGAGGAAGAGAGTTTGGCTCTCAACAGCCAGGAAGGCCTTTCCCAGGCTGCTCCAGGGCTGTTTGCTCTAGAAGCCCTACAGTGAATACAGGCAACTCTTGAGGCACAGAGGCTGACCAGTAAAGTCAGCCATGCTGGACCAGAGAAGCAACTAAGGGCCACGCTGGAAGGGACTGGGATGAATACAGGCCCCAGAGTAGCACATTGATATGCTGAGGTAACCAGAGTTATGGCAAGACAGGTGGAGGACAACAGAGAGACACTCGGGCAGGGCAGTGCGGGGGCAGGCTGCCTATGCTCAGGCAGGGCAGATACATCAATGTGAGGAGGAACTGGGCGCAGATCTCTCTGTTCATATTGATCATGGACTTACACCAAGGACAGGCTCCCACTTCATAAGGAAACAAAACTCAAGGTTGAGGAAAGGTCAAACAAAAGATAGCTCTGTTGGACAAAGGGGCACCAAATGTCTCCCTCATGAAGTTGTTGAAAGGCTTAGTGAAAAAGAGCTTTACAAACTCGAAAGGCAGGTGTACTGATCCACCAATTACTTGGACAGAAAATGCCCTTTTCTGGATTGCAGGCTTTGCTCCTGACAGTTACTGCCCAGCTGGCCCTGCCTGAGGGAGACACCTAAGCTTCGTTAGGGAGCTTGGGTGAGCAAGCAGTATGCCTTCTTTCCCTCAGGAGCAAGTTACAAAGGGGACTGTAAACAGGAGACCAATTCTCCTCAACCAGCATGCTGATAATGGGGATTCCTGGATGCCAGCAGAAGCAGGAAGACCAGTGTTACTCCTGACACTGAGCCTGAACACCGTCACCCTGGAGTGCAGCTGGCAACGGGCCACATTTGAAGTCAACCTTGCTCAACACTCTGTGACTCAAGTCTCACAGGTGCTCTGGTAGCAATCCTCAAGCTGGCTGGTAGTCCATTAAGGGTACAGTCAAAAGCCTGGGTGTGGAGCTCCTTGAACTAGCACTTCAAAAGGAAACCCGGAAGTATGCTGCTGAAATTAGGGGTCTCCAACCCACCCGAGAGCAGCCATTTTTTCTGCTGCCAGGAGCAGATGTCCTTGCACATCTGTAGCACTGGGCTTGATTAAAAGATTGACATATGTGCCCATGTCCCCAGGGGTGGTGCAGCTAGAGTGCTGGGGCTGTGCTTCTAGGCAGCCAGACCTCTACTGGAAGCCTGGTTCCTTCACTAACAACATGACTTGGGAAGTGGCTGAACTGTAGAAAGCAGTTTCTTATCTATGAAAGGGAGAAATAGCACCCAATCCCACATATAAATGAGGCTATTCCCGAATGTCAGGCTCTGTGCCAGGCCTTCATGTCATCCTCACCACTGACTTGTGACCCAGTCATGTTCTACCCTCCTTGTTTTTTTATTTTATTTTGTTTTTTATTTTAACCTTTATCACAGATGTCAAAGAAGCAGAAGAGTAGAAAGCATGACCTCCGTCCCCATGACTCATTTTCACTCTGTATTAATGCTCAGTCTTATTTTATCTGGATTCCCCATCTCCACTCTGGATATGTCATTGTGACCCATAAGGAAGCTAAGGCTCAGAGACAAAAGTAGCAATAACAATAGACTACTAACCACCTACAAGCACTTGTTCACTACATATTTTAGTCAATTATTTAGTATGTAGGGAGGTTTGTCTGCATGTATGTTAGTACACTCCTTGTGCATCTGGTGTCTGAGGAGGCCAGAGGAGGTCACTTGATTTCCTGAAACTGTAGTTAGAAACAGTTGTGAACTGGGACCATGTGGGTACTGGGACTCAAACCTGGGTCCTCTGGAAGAGTTGCACAATCCCTCCATCCCCTCAATATAATTTAATCTTCCCAGGAACCCTATTAGCTGGACTAGCAAGATGGCTCAGTGGGTAAAGGCACCTGCCATCAAGCCTGAAAACCTGAGTTTGATTCCCAGAATTTGCATGATAGGAGAAAACGGACTCCTGTGAGGTGTCTGATGTTCACAAGGGCACCATGGCACACGACCCCCCCCAAATTAAATGTAAATAAATAAGGAAGAACCCTACTAATAATCACTATCACCCTCCCTTTAAAGATAGGAAACTGGGGCCATGGGCTTAGAAACTTGCCCAGGTTCACAGGCAGAAATTCAACACCAGTGGCCTGATCTGGGGTACAGTTCCTCTCTTCCACATATGTCGCCTCCAAATCAAAGAGAACTGAAGAAATCACAAAGCACCCAGCTTGGCACATGGCACATATCATTTCAAATTTTGGCTCTGCCCTGCCTGGGTGAGTGGGTCAGGCTGGCCTGTCTACCAGTCCCCCACAATGGCTGTGTGGATGAACCTTATAGCTCATGGGCCCCAGATATTCTCAGTGAAGACCATGCCTATGGTTGGTTCTGCCCTCTGCCCAACCCTGATGAAGTCACTTACCCAGGATGGAAACCGGTGCAGGGGGGGCGTGGGTGGCTTCTTCTCCAGTTCCACTTCCTCCAGGGCAGCTCTGGGGGGCTTCAGGCTTTCTCTTTCTTCCTGTTTCCCTGTTGGAAGTGGCTCCTCCATCTCCATCTTCTCGGCTTCTTCCCGGGCTTTAGCCCTGGATTCAGACTTGGAGAAGCCAGACAAGGGGAGGGCTGGCAGAGCCCCAATCTTAATGTTTACCACATGGTCAAAATGCCCAGGACCCACCTGTGGTTGACTGTGGTGCCTTTTGGCCAACTGGAAGCTGTCCCGGGGGTTGCTGGGAGCCCGCACCTTTGGCAGAGTCAAGCTACTACCAGGGCCACCTTCCCTGGAAGAAATCTTAGTCCCAGGAAATGTCCCTCCTGGAGCAGTGAGCAGATTGGCCCTGTATGAGGCTGACACATGTTTGCGGCTGCCAGGCTTCTCCAACAACTGGCTGGGTGAGCCCTCTCTTTGAGGATGAGATTTAAGGGTCTTGGCCTCTGCTATTTCCCCAGAGTAGACCATGCTGGAGCTCAAATCCTCGAGACTTCTGGCTTCTGACATAGAGTCCTTGTTCTGCAGGGTACCCAGAGAAGGTGCAGGCACAGCCACCTTCAAAATTTGAGTATGGGTATTACTGTCCTGCTCCACAGGCTGGGTTCTGGGTCCTGAAGGGACAGGGTTCCCCTCTGGGGTTCCCTCAGGGACCACTAGCAGCTTCTCTGAAGGTGTCATCCGAAGATCTGTGGATGAGGATAAACCAGGCATACCCATTGAGAACGCCTTCCACTCTGTCCCACGCCTTGCTGTGCCTATAGACACCGGTCTACCTACCCGCAAGGGTGTCCCGAAGGGCTTCCACCTGCTCCACCAGCTGCTGATTATAGGCCTTCAGGTGCTCATTCTCTGTTTCAAGCTGGGCAAAAAGAAAATGAAGGTTTAGGGGCCTGTGTCACTTGTCACTCAGTGGTAGAGTATATGCCTGGCATGCCAAAGGCCCTGGGTTAATACCTAGCAGTAAGGAAACAGAGGGTTAGAGTGCCCAACCCTGCTTGTTCATGTGTAATCCAAAACAAGCCTGAAAGTCCAAATCTTTGAAAATAGCACATGGTAGCATTTGCTTTTCTAGTTCATTTTCATTTTCTCCCTCCCTTCTCTCTCTCTCTCTTTGAGGCAGTCTCTCTATGTGGCCCATGCTGGCCTGGAACTGATAATGTTTTGTTTTGTTTTTAATTGTGAAATATAGCACACACAGAGAAAACTGCATCTCACTTCAGTGAAGTGCTTAAGTGATTCTGAAGCTGCTGCTCATATGACCACCTTGCAAGCTGAGACGGCAGTTTGTCAGCACCTGACACTTCCTGATTTGCCCCTTCAGTCACTCTGTCCCCTCCCCACAAAAGACAACAGTTCTTCTTAGCTTACCAGATTCCCCTGCTTTCTGAATTTTACCACCCCCGGGTGCATTCCTACACTTCAATTTAGCTGGACCCATGTTCACTCTTTAGCTAATAGTTACACACTGTGTGTACTTCTCTACATCCACTTTGTTTCTCTGTGAATGCTACCTGTGAATTCTATCCTAGTAGTGACTGTATTTTCTATTAAATTAATTAAGCTCAGGGCTGGAGAGATGGCTCAGAGGTTAAAGGCACTGGCTGTCCTTCCAGAGGACCTGAGTTCAATTCCCAGCAACCACATGGTAGCTCACAACCATTTATAATGAGATCTCGTGCCCTCTTCTGGCCTGTAGGTGTACACGCAGGCAGAACACAGTATATATAATAAATCTTTTTTAAAAATTAATTCAGCCCAGCACAATTTTCTTGAGCACTTTTCAAGCAAGGGCCAGATGGGGGCAGGGGGTGTCCTTAATTTATTCTAAGAGTTCTGCCCTCAAGAACTCACAGTCTAATGACTCCCTCTGTTTAGAAAGCCATTTACTTGCTAGTAATGCTGCAGTGTCTAGTCCTGGGTTCCTAAACAAAGCTATAATCAGTGACAAACTACAAAATGCATGGCTATACAGGAAGAGGGGCTGAGAGGGAGAGAACCAGAGGTGTTTGGTGTGAACAAAGTTTCCTTCTGGGGTGAGAAGCAGCTTTAGAAACAGTGGTGGACACACAATATGCTGCTATACTGTAAGTGCTTAATACCTTGGCATTTGGATACTTAATAAACAGTCAACGTGGCAATATTTATGTATATTTACCACAATCTTGAGGGGAGGATGGAATTTCACTGTATAGTCCAGGTTGGCCCCAAACTCACAGAGCTCTGCTTCCTCAGTGCTGAGATTAAAGCTGTGTGCTACCACAACAAGCCTGACCACATGCTTTTAAAAAGATGTATTTTTTTAAAAAGTTGGTATTCATGTGCTTGTGTGTGTGTGTGTGTGTGTGTGTGTGTGTGTGTGTGCACTCGCGCGCGCGTGCGCGAACACACACCAGGGAGTTGGAGCCCCCAAAGCTGGAGGTATAAGCAGTTGTGAGCTGCCCAACTTAGGCATTGGGAACGGAACTCAAGCCCTCTGAATACACCCTCTTAATCACTGAGCCATTTCTCTAGGTCATACTTTACAATATTTTAAAAGAAAAAGAATAAATGGCATTGTGATGTGCTCACTAAAAAGAAGATGAGAGGATTCTCCGAAACTTCCAGATACCAATCCCATCTCCCCAACCTCAAACCCAGTACTAGGCTAGAAGAAGGGTTCAGGAAAGCCGACCAAGACAAGAGGAGAGGAAGTGACTGGAAGGACACGTGGGGAGAAGGAACGTGTAGCTTGGTTTCACTATGAGGATTGTGGGTGAGACAGCAGTTGGGGAGAGGCAGGCTCCTGGGCAGGACCTCGGGCTGAGCTTTCAACTCACCTCTGCTAACTTTACTGTCACCCATTCCTTGATCTTTGCAGCCTTTTCTTGAACAATTTTGGCTTCTTCGGCTCTTGTCTGCTTCTGCAAGGAGAAAGCCTTTAGTTAATTACAGCAGTCTGATGGCTGAGATGGGTGCTCCAAGTTACAGAGGAACTTTGGGTGACTGTCCAGGTAGCGAGATGTCTCCATCAATTCTAGAGTTTATATATTATCCTAGTGGTCTTTGATGGAGTTGAAGACAGATAGTTATGGTTATAGTTTACTTCAGTTATTATAAAAGAAAAGTTACCCTTCTTTTTATTTAGACAGAAAAGAGGAGATGATGGGGGAGGTCCTTCTGTGTATATGATTGTCTCATTGGTTGATAAAGTCCTGTTGGCCAATAGGAAAACAAGATAGGTGGGACTAGGAGGCAAGGAGGATTCTAGGAAAGGTAGGAGGAAGCACAGAGTCACCATGTGAGCCCAGGAAGACAGGATGCTTGAAATCTTATAAAATATATAGATTTATGATAATTAAGACTGATCTAGAAGATGAGAATCCTAGTTGTTGGCCAAGCAGCATTGTACTTAATATAAGTCTGTGTGTTACTTGGGACCGTAACATAGAGGTGGGTGGAACTTGGGCGGCCTGGCGGAAAGCGCCCATGTGGCAGCAGGACTCAGGTGGCTTGGCAGAAAGACTTATTGTTACAGCAGTTAGCAAGGAAGGAGAGAAGCCAGGAGAAGGAACCCAGTGACAGAATGAGGTGATGCAGCAGAGAAAATGAGCTCTGTTATGGCTTTTAAAAATATCTTCTTGGGCATGATACTGCACACTTACAATCTCAGCACTTGGGGGTGCTGAGGCAGGTAGAGCCTAAGATCAGGTGGACTAGACAACAAAATCCTGCTAAAACAAAATTTAAAGTGGAAAGGGATTTTTCCTACACATAATACAAATCCCAAAAACCCACCAAGGAAAAAACTAAATAATACACCCTTATACCATCTCTATAAATTACTGTGTGACAAAAGAAAAGCATTTAAACTAACTAAAATACCAATAGAGGAGGACCAGCCAGGGTGGTGTATACCTGTATACTCATCTATGCATGAAGCTAAGGTGAGAAGCACAGTTAAGCACAGGTTCAAGACCAGGCTGGGCAAATAGGGAGACCCATTTTCAAAACAAAACAAAAGACCTATTGGAGAAAGATTTGTAACAGAAACAACACACATACAGATAGCTAGTTGCCATGAACAACCCAATAAACATGCAAAACATGCAAAGGATATGAATAGGAAGTCAACAAAAAAAGGACCCAGAAGATGTTGTGAAGCTCAGCCATATACAAATACATAGGACATCATTTCCCTCTATCAGACTACTTTGGTATTACCTGCAAATGTCAAGAATACTGTAAGCAACTCTCACACAAACTCAAGGTCTCTGTGGAGACAATTAGACAACATCTACCCATGTTTCAAACATACATAACCTTGGTCTAACAGCATCAGAAGCACTCATGGCAATAGCATTTGAGAAAGCAGCACAACATAGCACCCAAAACCTGAACTAGCCTGAGTGCCCACAAGCAAGAGATATTTAAGTAAACCTGGTACAACCACAAAATGAGAGTCACTGCTGAGCTTTGGTACACAAGAGACTAGTGAGAAGTGGAAGTGAGCACTGGGGAGGAAGGGGAATGCTCCTTACCATTTTAGACCCTTCTGGATGTTTTGTACTTGACTATAGCATACATTATGCTTACAATTTAAAAAGAGAGAGCTAAATGAGCACAGAAGTAGTAGCCCCAAAATAATCAGTAACTGAAAAGATACTCATCTAGCCAGGCCTTTAATCCCAGCACTAGGGAGGCAGAGGTGGATCTCTGAGTTTCAGGCTAACCTGATCCAGTTCTAGGACAGCTATCGCCATATAGTAAGCAAACTTCTGTCTCAAGAGAGAAAAGGTTTTCAACTAAAGGCACTGAAAATGGAGGATATAGCTCAGTGGCAGAACAGTCAAGTACCATGCATAAAAGTATAAGTTTGAGAATCAGTACTGGGGGGGGGGGCTTTAAAAGAACTATAGGATAAAATGAAATATAATTTTTGATTCTACATGAAATTTTCTTGCTGTAAACCTAATCTCTATGGCCTTGAATCTGTACCTCTGAA